ATTGACAGTCATTCATTACAGGAAAAAAAATCAATTACATCTTCATTCTATATTTTAGTCTTCATATGTAGTCATATTTTAGTGWATGTGTGCATTTGCCCGTATATTGTTAATTCCTTTAGTATCAAGTTTTATTTTATAATTTGTCACYTCATGAACTCATCTAAATCCTTCAGTTCTTTTATTATTTTAGCCTGAGACCCTTTGTTTGCTCTGATAAAAATGTTTCCATTTTGTGTCCAAGTAGATGGAGAGAAGAAAAAGAAACTGAACTTTTGTTGAAGTGTGTCTGATGAGAGCACTCAGTCCAGCTCATTGCTATTCCAAGGATTGTTTAGACTCCCGCCTGACCTGCAACACTTTCTGCCCAAACATCCCCTGCACACAGGTGTTTCTGAATGAGCAGGTCTATCTGGAAAACAAAAGGACATATTAAAAAAATATATGTTAACCATTTAATGATTTCATGGTGAGGTGAGGATGAGAAGAGATAATAAGAGATTTTGCTCTCAGGAGGGCTGCTGATCTGGACCCATGTTTTAATGATTTATTTAGCATTAGCGTGGTTTTTAGACCTGGACATTCACTCTGATGGTTTGAGCTTCAGTGCAGGTGTCAAAATAAAGCTCTAGTGCTCTAAAATTATCAAACTAAACTGAGATGAGTTCAAGGTGCCTTTAACAACTCTGACATTTTTTGTTTCTAGATGTTTAGATTTAGATGTATCTAACTGTTAAACTAAATTCTCTCCGTTCTTCTGAGCTTTGATGACCTTTAAACACATCCCAGATTGAAGAAGTGAAATGCTAAACTAGTAGAAWGTGTACCTACCTACATATACATACCATGCTGTTCTGTGTAAATTAATCCTCACAGTAGTTCCAGTTTTCCCCAGTACAAACCATTCAGGCAGACTGTTTTTAGAGTTTAAGCCTCTACGATGAATGATGGTAAACATCATTGTTCCTTCAGCAATAATTTTCTGATTTACCAGAATTTAAATTTCTTGTTTGAACTTTTCAAAAACTTTTTTTCCACATTCCTGACCACATGTTCTRTAAAAAGTGAAAAATTCAGTTTAAAAGTTTATTTTGAGAGTATTCTTACCTCACATTGTTATAACATCAACAGGTTTAACAGAAAAGT